GTCAAGTACACTGGACTGTCACACTGCTGAGGGATGATGGGAGAATCTCTGAAGGATCCACAACACGGATGCTTTCATAAAACATCTCCATTAGTCGAGACCAAGACTAGACCACAGTCCCAGACTAAAGGTCTGTTCACGCCAATAATGAAATAACGATAACTATAATCACGTTAATTTCATGAGAATAACGAGTTCCACCACAACTATAATGACACAGATGAAGGATATTGTCAAAATGATAAAGAATAAAAACATTCAGATAGCTCAAGCATTTAAAGCGACGGACAAAACTTTAAATTATTCTAAGAGAAAATACACTTTCAGCCTTTCTACTTCAAAACTTCACATTTAATTCAATGCGTTACTTGCCTTTTTTCATAATTATTTATGAAATTTACTAGCAGTTTCTGAGTGAAAATTTCAAAGTAAATCCCACACCATTGTTTTAGACTGTAGTTATAATTAGTTATATAGTTATCGTTATGGTTCTTGGTGTGAATCGGCCTTAAAGTGACAGTTCACCCAAAAAAGATAATTCTGTCATCATCTTCTCTCCCTCATGTTGTTCCAAACCTGCATGAGTTTCTTTCCTCTGTTAAGCACAAAAGAAGATATGTTGAGGAATGCTGGGAACCGAACACTTATTTTACAGTATTGTTTCTATCCTATCGTTTGATTTTAGGGTGAACTGTCCCTTTAAGGGCTGGAGAAGATGCTCATCTGATGCTCTTCTGATCGAAGTTCAGCTTTTGTAGACCATTAATTTTTCCTCTTTGTTTAACATCCGACGACTCTGACCAAATGAACCAAAGGACGGTGAGAATCTCAAAACCTGCAGGGTTAAACACGGCCAACTAATCAACGAATCAGAGCAGCCGAAGTGTTTGGCCTGATCTGTACGGAGATCTGTGTTTTATATGAATGAAATTGAGCTTTTAGATTCAGATCCTCTAGAATGCACAAATGTATTTTAATATTTATTTGATGACGCTTCTAGTTCCCCCTAGAGAAATTGCACTATTACATCCCCCGTCATGTTTGTCTTGTTCTTTGGCTTGATTTTTTAGATGCAGAGCTTTAATTGGATGGAAATCTACTAAACATGTGCTTCGAGTTAATAACTCTTCATTTTGTTCATCTAGACACCATTATATGGCTAGTTGCATTTTATTATTTGTGTTTAATATAGTTTTTCACCTGCTGTTGATGAGAGACGGACACAGCTGTTTAGTAGCACCTTAATATAAATGTGTGGCAAATATTAGATGCAAAATATATGGATTAGAAATGTATTATTTTTATTGAACATGCATTTGTTATTTGTCCATGCTTGACAAGATACTAGTTATGATGAATCTAACTAGTTCAGCTGGTGAGCGCTTCTTTCCAGTGATTACTGAAGAAACGTCTCTGAAAATAATTCATATTCTAATTGAAATGAGGGTTTTTGCATTTGGGAGCAGCATCGTCTTTCTGCTTCCAACTTCTGAACAAAAAGGAGATATTTTATTAAGTCTGTTTCTAAAGCTGGAACATGCTATATATTTTCAGGACTATTTTTGAGAAAACAAATCTATTTAAATTCCTGTCCTCTTCTCTGAGTTCTCTAAATCATACTTTTGAGACTTGTAATTGTATTTAAAGAAATAATTTAAAATGAAGTATAAGCATATATCTATATTTCAAGTCCTCTTAGTTTAACAATGTTTTGAAGTGCTGTTGCAGTCTTGTGCTCAGTAAGTGCAGTGGATTTATTATTATTTATGATTATCGTCAGTCTTAATGAGCTCTTCAGTAATATTCAGACGAGTTAAATCGAGAGGTTCGGACCGAAGCACACCTTCAGACTGCTGTGATTAAATACTCTACAGATATGGTGTAAAAACACGGTAAATGCACCGTTTTACTGGTTGGACGTGACTCACTGAGCCTGGTTTCACTCTAGTTTTTATCTGCAGCTCGTTTTAATCTCTATTTAGTTTGTTTCTCTGAAGTTCGTGAGTTTTTGTTTTGTGATTTATTTTATTGGCCGATTGTTTAATTGTCAATCATCTGTGGTGTTGGACTATTATAGACAGATTGACTTTATATGGAGGATTTTAAACCTTTCAGACCACTGGGAAATATTCCAGATCATTCCAGAGAAAGTATATAAATATAAACTATATATACACTGTATATATATATATATATATATATATATAGTTTCCTGATCGACCATTAGTTAATACTGACCAATCACAGACACTGTTGCCCGTTCCGAAATCTGCTTTTGTTTTGTTTTTATTGCTTTGTGTTTTGTGTTTTTGTTTTGTTTGTTCATTTGTCTCATTGTGAGCTTTGTTGTTATCTGATGTTTTTTTGGGGGGTTTTGTTTTGTTTTGTTTTAGATCTGTGTGTCTCTTTCGTTTGATTTCAGAGAGTAAAAGAGAAGGTATGAATATTTATCTGATGTTTATTTTGTCCCTCTTTTTCACTTTTGTTTTTAAGGCAATGGATCCCTGCTGATTATTGTTCAATGAAAAAGTATTTATAAAATATAAACAAGTCTTTTGTGAAAGCGTTGAGTCCTCTGTTTGCTGATTCTCCTGAGACACGGTATCAAAACACTTATTTTTAAAGCAATAAGCCATGTGTTATTTTAATATCATTGAGATACTGTTATAGTTTTTTTATTAATATTTTGGTTATTTTTTTTTAATATATTTTCCGTTTTCATTTAACTTTGTAGTTTTAGTAATTTTGCTGGGTTTTTTTTGTCATTTTGTAGTACTTTAATTTTTTTCCCAATGTGTCTATATAGTTTTTATTCATTTTTATTTCAGTTTTAGTTTGAGTTATTTTACTACATCACATTAAAATCCAGTAAAATAATAAAAAAAGTTTTATTTTATTTCAGTTATTTTTATTTGATTTAACAATTTTTTTTTAATGGTTTTAGGTAATGTATTAACTCAAGTGGTTTGTTGTGTTTCATGTTTGATTCAGTGAAAAATGTCCAGTTGAGTCTCAGACATTCACATTTAGTCTCATTCATGTTCATAATGTGTAAAATCTTATAGTGAGCTTCAGTTCAGCTTTGCTCTCTGTGTCCAGCAGATGTCAGTGTTCAGTGACACGTGTGTGTGTGTGTGTGTGTGTGTGTGTGTGTGAGTGTGTTTTCATCAAGTGTCTTCATCAGTGTTCCTGTGTGTCTCATCAGTTCATCATCTGACTGTGGTCTGCTGCAGGTCTGTCACAGTGAGTATAATCACACAGTGTGTGTCTTCATGCGTCTGGTTGTAATGGTCTGGGTGTCTGTCCCTTTAAGACTCTGATTCGGGGTTTCCTCTGCCCCTGCACTCATGTGTATATGCTGGGGAAAAACACATTGTACTTTCTATCTTTGGTTGCACCTTCCTTTAACATTAATACATAGGTTGATGGTGACCTGCATCGTGTGTTTCTTTCTTCCATAACGCACAATAGGTTACATGGTGTCCTCGCACACGTGATTGAGCTCTGATCCTCTTTAAAGGATGGAAGCAGACAGAAGGGATTGTTGTTGAACATGGATTTATCAGAGCTGCTCCACATTCACACCAATGACTGAATCATATCCCTGATGTTTCTTGGAAAGAAAAACTCATGATTTTCATCATAAACCAATCAAAATCTGCAGCTCACAGTACAAAAACATGAAGTTTTATTAAGATGTGTTACTGATGAGAATCCTGTCATCTATTGTCCCAGTACAGAATAAACCAGTGTTTCAGAACAACGCCCGACATTTCTTGCATGCACAAACAGATGCATTCAGTGAAGGTTTAATAAAAAATAATGTTTTTTAAGATTAACCAGTAATTTAAAAATGTTACTATGATAATAATTTTTGCTGTGGCAGATGCTTTTATCCAAAGTGTTAATTAGTTAATTCAGTCCCTGGGAATCAAACCCATGACTTTGGTGTTGCTAGCACCTTGATCTAGTGCTTTTTAATTGTTTAAAGGCTTTTTTATTACTATTATTGATAATAAAATGCCAGTAAAATAATATTAATATCAATGCAATTATTTTTAATATCATCAGGTCTTAATAATATATAAAAGCATGGGTCAAGTAAGTTTATGATTTTATGCAGTTATTTGCACGGAGAAGAAATTAACCTGTAATGAAATGCATGAATATGTGACTGTGTGATTATGAATGTGCAGCATTGACAGAATGAGATTATGATTGTGTTCATTAAACTCTGAGCTAATGAACATACGGCGCTCTGATGAATATTACTGACACATCAGCAGCTCTCTGTGTTTCATTATTTCATCTGATTATTTTCTCTTCCTCTTTGAGTGCCATTGACTTGATTTTCACTTTTGATTTGCTGTTATTATTTCAAATTTCTTTTTGCCCAATGTTGAAGAGTGTGTTTGTGCATCTCTCTTTAAACTAAATGACACTTGCTGTCTAATACACAAGACTTTCGGATGTTTTAAGTGGCCAGATACTGCATGCTGGCAGAATATGTAAAGTTTTAAGCATAAATCAGTGGAGTAAAGCCAGATCTGCTTCAGCTCATACAGATTCTCCTCACATCTAATGCAGTTTTACTGGAAAACAACACAAGGATCTGCTGAAGAACATGAATGAAGAGCAACAAACACCTTGAACGCTTCAGTCAGCGACACAAGCTCTTGAGACGCTTACAGACCCTAATCTGTCATGACATCATGTGTGTGTGTGTGTCTCTCTCTCTCTGTGTCTGTGTCTGTGTGTGTGTGTGTGTGTGTGTGTGTGTGTGTGTGTGTGTGTGTGTGTGTGTGTGTGTGAGTGAGTGTGTGTGTCTCTCTCTCTCTGTGTCTGTGTGTGTGTGGATTAAGAGGCTCATCTGAGAGGAGTGTGTGAGAGAGAGACCTACAAGGATAGCTGACCAGACGTGTGTGTGTGTGTGTGTGTGTGTGTATTAAGAGGCTCATCTGAGAGGAGGAGTGTGTGTGAGAGAGTGTGTGTGTGTGTGGATTAAGAGGCTCATCTGAGAGGAGTGTGTGTGTGTGAGTGTGTGTCTCTCAGACGGCTGTGAGCTGATGGAGCGCTCTGATGGAGACGAGTGTCTGCTGCCCGACACAGACTTCATGATCGGTCAGTGAATGAGCAGAGCTTACACTCGTTTATATGTAAATCAACTGCAAATATCTGCTAGAGTTGAACATCTCTCTCAGAATCTACTTATATTTCAGGTCGGTTTTCAGAAAACAAGATTTAATGCAGTTTTATTTCTTAGTGTATTGAAGTGGATGAAGTTTATAAATGTGTGGAAGATAACGAGAGCGAGATGATCGTTTGATTACATTTTTTATTCATATTTTGAATCTGGTTTTATTTTTTTATATTTTCAGTTTTCATTTATTTTCATTTTAAACTTTTAGTAATTTTGTTGTGTGGTTTTGTGATTTTATAAACCTTTGACTGGTAGTGTATGTATATCTATAGAGAGAGAGAGATGTAGTTTTTGTGAATTTTTATTTCATTATTTTTTATTTTATTACAACAAGTTAAACTACATGAAAATGAGAAATGTTGCTTTGGCAACTATGGCTGAAATAAAGTTTTTACATTTTTTATTTTCTTAGTTTATTTTATTTCAAGTAACAAAAATGCTTTGTTAATGGTTTTAATTTTAGCTTTAGTTAACTATATTAACCTTGTTATAAGAACAGCCAATATTTCACCCTAAAATCAAAACAAAAACATGAATTAATTTACAAACAAGACATATGGACATTTTTGTGATGCATTAGTAGGAATTTGTGGGCAAAATGTGTTATCATGATATTAATCTCAAAATGCAGAAAATCTTCGGGATTAATTTTCTTTATAACAAATATACTTCCTCATTTCCTCCTTTTGAGTTTGAGGTGAAGTAGGAGCTGGTTCTCATGAGATTGAAAGATCCAGACAGAGAGTGGTAGTTTTGTGTTGTTCAGTCGGTGAATACAGAGGGACGTCAGGATGGTTTCAGCTGGATTTCTGCAGTGAGATTATGAGCGGTTATAATCCACTCCTCCTTATGGAGCTCCAGACGACTCAAACACACGATTCAATCGATTCACTGATGCTTCATGAGACGAGCACATCACACGGCAAAATATCCAACGTGATCAGAAAAACACCAATCTCACAGATGTCTCGGTTGTTTCTCCTAGATTTAATGTTTCTTCTGAGAAAAAGACCATAAAATAACCTCATTCAGCTCTGCAGCCAGCAAACAGGCCATTTTTGGGAAGCAAATAACATCTGGCAGCTGTAGACTCGTATCATCTGCTTTTCTCTCTGTGGAACCGCAGGAGACACATCCCTGATCGCACACGAACATCACGGAGACTCTATTTGACGTCTATTTTGACGTAGTGTTTGCTCATCTGCGAGACGTCTCTAGGACGTTTCCTATCAGATGTCAAATAGACATTTAGTGCAAGATGTCTGTTAAAGATCTGGAAAGCATCTGCTGTGTAGCCTATCCCTGATAGCAAAGTACATCACGGAGACGTCTGTTTGCAAGAGGTATTTTTTAGAGTGTTTGCTCTACGTTTCCTATCAGATGTCAAATAGACGTTTAGAAGATGTCTTTAAGATGTTTATGATGTAAAACTGACATCTTAGAGACGTCTATCAGATGTTTGTACAGCAGATGCTTTCCAGAAGATCTTTAACAGACGTCTTGCAGACGTACCTGTGCTATCTGGGATCTGAGGAGGCTTGTGTGAGGCTGTGGATTTGACTCTTATTTGAAGTCATTGATTCTGTTTATTGATGTAAAGCTGCTTTGAAACAATGAAGCGCTATAGAAATGTGTGCGTGTGTTAAGTCGAGTCACCTTTATTTCTATAGCTCTTTATACTATACAGCTTGTGTCATAGCAGCGTTACAGTGTCAAACAGGACAATAGTTAGTCAATAATGCAGTAATGTGTGTGTGTGTGTGTGTCAGATGAGCAGAGCTCTCACGCCAGTGGGATGGAGGTGATGGATCGCCTCACGTTCCTGGAGCAGCGCGTTCAGATGCAGGACGATGAGATCCAGCTGCTGAAGATCAACATGACCGACGTGCTGAAGAGACTCAACATCTCAGAAGAGCACAGGAGAGCTCCTGCTAAAGGTGCCGCGATCACACTCACACACACACACACACACACACACACACACACACACACACACACACAGACTAAAGTTGCAGACTTACCATGTTCATCACATGCATTAATTAATGTGTTACAATGATTAAGGCATTTGACGCAGCACTCCGTCCAGACCTGTCACTGATGCAGTGTCTGAGGAACAAGCTTTTAGAATGCAGTAATATGAGCGCAAACAATCACCCTCTCATATTTACATCATATGATATAGTTTAGCAATGTCACACCAGCAAGAGTGCTGTTTCTTCCCAATATCTGCACCATTGCTAACGTAATATTGATCTTATTCATCAGGTCAATAAACAAGAAGTTCATATTGCTACATTTTAGACAGTATTGTCAATTTAGTTCAGTTTTGCAAACAAAAAATTGTTCCAATCAAAGCCACAGCAGAACTGTTGAGTGTCTCTGATCAACACTGATCTGATTCATTACTGAACGAATCCACGGTTTGAAGAAATCGAGTGAGCCAATGATTCAGTGACTCATTCGTAAACACAGTCACTTGCTTTGTTTCTGAATAAACTAATTGGTTGAATGATTGATTCAATGACTCACTCAGTAAGACATTGGCTCACCGCCCCCTACTGGTGCATTTAGTTTCATATTTACAGTATCATTTCATTGTTTCATCATTTCATATTTTAGAAATAATTTTAAAAACATTAATATTTATTATCATTATTTATGCAATGTTGAATCAAACTATGTATTTCTAAAGCAACTTTGCTGTAATGTCTATTCAATGCTTTTCTCGTGTATCACAATAATGACTTTAAGTGATTTTTGTGGGGTAATTTCTCAGCCCAAATTTATATGCGAATCATTTGATTAATTAATTGGCACATCATGCAATTATTTAAATAAAAAATGTAATGGTTTGACAGCCCTGATACAAACATCCTATCAGCTGCTCTCTCTGCTCACATCTGCTGTGTGTTTCCTCAGCGGCTCGTCCTGCGTCTCTGTGTCTGGCTCCTAAAGCAGCCATCAGCTCTTCTTCCTCCTCTCTGAGGAAGAGCTCCAGCTCCACGCTGCCCTCCTCACCCTCCTCCAGGAACTACAGCCCAGCGCCCGGCGCAAAGAGGTGTGTGTGTGTGTGTGTGTGTGTGTGTGTGTGAGTGAGTGAGTGAGTG